AGAAAGAAAGAAAGAAAGAAAGAAAGAAAGAAAGAAAGAAAGAAAGAAAGAAAGAAAGAAAAAGGAAGACAAAGAGAAAGAGAAAGGGAGAACATAATACCGTTGTAATAATCTGGTTATTATTTAACAGGAAAGGAGTAAAGGGAGGACTAGATAACATAGGCATGCCATTTATACAGCTTTGCTGATTTAACACTCTCCAAGTCTTTCCCCGGGGGAAAGAACTGGACAAAGGCAGTGTAGACGCATGCCTAGTGAGGTCCGAGTGAGGGGGGAAGATGCATAGCTGTCAGTCACACCTGGAAGTGCGGCAGCGGCCAGAATAGGTGTGGCCACTGCAGGGGCACGTAACCTGAATATTGAAACTCCTGGACAAAGGAGCCGATCTCTCTCTGACACACCGGGTTCCTGGGTCTCCTGTTGCAGGGGGCACATTCCCCTGCAATTTGCCCGCGTGGCCCACAGCCATGTGGACTCCACACAATGGGACTAATGGACTTTAGCCCGATGCTGGACTTTAACTGCAACATGGAACGGAAGCTCTGAACCCTGGCCTGTCGTTTGGCTCTGCTGGAACCCCAGCTTTCAGGACTGGTTTAAGGGACGTGGGACTTTGGAACCTGAGGAATGGAACTCCACACAGTTAAAGCCTGTTACCACACCCCATTCTCCCGTGCGAATCTTAGAAAATCCATTTTCTAAAGCTGTCTTAAGAACCCCACTTCCAGGAGCAGTGGAGAAGTTTGATTCTCTGGGAGAGAGAGAGAGAGAGAGAGAGAGAGAGAGAGAGAGAAAGAGAAAGGGGGAAAGAGAAAGAAAGAGAAAGGGGGAGAGAGAGAGAAAGAAAGAGAAAGGGGGTGAGAGAGAAAGAGAGGGAAACATCAAGGAAGAGAAACAGAAAGGGAGATGGGGAAAGAGAAAGGAAGACAAAAAGAAGAGAAAGAAAGGAGGAGAGAAAAAGAAAGGGACAGAGAGAACAAGAAAGAGAATGAGGAGAGAGAGAGAGAGAGGAAGGGAGGGAGAGCAGGTGTGTAGGCAGCTCTGATTTCCCCTCCAGCTGAGTGCGCTCAGGGTCAGCCCTGCACAGCAACACTTTCTACTCTCTGCCTTCCGTTTACTTCCTTTCCTTTCCGTGTTGCTACCTTGGCAAAGGGTGGCATCTGGATGATTTTTAATCCTAATTTAATTACTATGGACCTTGAAAACAGCACAAGGCCTCTGGAATGGATGATTGATGGGGGAGGAGTCAGATGAGCGCTTCG